TAGCTGTGTGAGCTCAGGCAAGAGAATTATAGGAGCCTATGGGGGTGAGGGTGGGGGGTGATCACATGATAGACAGGAAGCAGCTAACACAAGGGCATGTTGGTGAAGTTCTCTCAGGTTTAACTGTAAGCAAAGATGCTCAGAGGGGGTAGCTTGGGCGCCCCACTCCTGTGTCTGTGAGTCCCTTTGGCTCAGTTCAGCAGTGCTCACCAGCCTTCAGCAGGTGGACCCCCTGGCCCCATACAACTCTCTTTTTGGCCAGTGAAACAACTACCTGAAAATAAGTCTCCAGGCTACAGATACAGCAGTGAGATGACAAAGGGAACAGGGCCAACTCTGTCCAAGAATTTGAGCCTCATCTCCTCCCAAGCCTGAAGGGAGAGAGGAGGAGGTGCTGGCAGTAGGCCCAGCGTGTAGAGTGCCAGGCCAGATTCCTGGCACCCAGAGCCCCTCTTGTGGCTAGAATGGGGACCACAGAGTGGTGGTGGGAGGTGGCCCAGGAAGGCCAGATTGGAGTCAACTCACAGAGGACCCTCAGGTCACACACAGTCCAGCGGGTGATCAGGAAAAGCTTTAGGAGGGTATACTGGTAAGTCTTAACTGTCAAGTGGACACAACACTGAATCACCTGGGAAGAGTCTTAAATGAGAAATTTTCTAGATCAGATGGGTCGGTGGGTGTACCTGTGGGGGACTGTCTGGAATTGTTCACTGATGTTGGAAGACTCAGCCCACTGAGGGTGGCACCATTCCCTAGGCTGGGGCCTGAACTGTGTAAAAGTGAGCAAGAAAGGAAACGGGCAGCATGGGTCCATTCATTTCTCTCCGCCCTTAACTGTGGATGTGATATGACCAGCTGTCTTGAGCCCCAGCCTCTGACTTCTCCACAGTGACCTGGAGTTGTGACCTTTCCTCCCCAAAGTTGCTTTTGGTCAGGGCATTTTATCACAGCATCAGAAATGAGAGGACAGGAGGGCATCCTAACAGTAGTAAGAGTTTAGGTGAGAACAGATGAAATCTCCACCTTGAGTGGGCTGGGTGACAGAAGGGAAAATATGCAAACTTGGGAGTCATAGACTGTTCACGGTTGGGCTTGGGCCTCTTGCTACGGTGGACTTCGGGCACATTTCAGAATCTCAGCCTTGACCTTCTCCATCAGAAAATACTGGTAAGGATACCAACTTTAGGATCGGGAAGACCGAATGGAAACAGTTGGTGCAGAGAGTATGTCTTTATAATTAGCAAGTTCTGTGTAATCAGAAGAAAGAAACGTGACAGGCAAGGAAGCGAGGGACAGATCCAGAGTGAGCCCAACAGGTGTCCCCCTCCCAGCCATTACCTTGTCACTGCCCTGCTTGTAGCTCTGTCTTCCCTTCTGCTGCTCACTGAGGCTCTGACTCTTTGGGGGCCTGGGTGGGGGAGTTTGGCTCTCATAGACGGGTAGCTTCCGAAGGCTGTAGTAGACAGCCTCTGACAGCTCCTCCACTGTAGCCACAGGGAGAGGCCTAGCCATCTGGCCTGGCTGCCCCTCAGCCTCCACCACAGTCAGGTCCAGCCACCGAGGAGGGATTTCGAAGTATAGCCCCGGCTGGGAGTCCAGGCCCACCACCAAGAAGGGCTCTGTGATCTTCTCCTCTAGCCGCAGGCCCGGGAATGAGACCAGAGGATCCGTGGGATGGCCAGTGTCCTTGGCTACTACCTTGACCTCACAGGGCAGGGGGAAGTGGGCAGTCAGATCTGCAAGGCTATAGCGCCGGTTGTCATTCATTTCCTCCACAAAGCCACCAGGGAGGTAGAGAGGCAACAGAATCTGTTCTTGGTCCTCCACCTCCTCTTCCTCCCAGTCCCGCTCACTCAGCCGCTGACATACCAAGATATCTATGTCCTGGCCCTGGCTCCCGAGGGCCTGGCCTGACTGCAGCACCTCCAGTCGATCACCCACAGCCAGGAAAGAAAACTCAGGG